TTAATTTTAAATTTTAAATTTTCTAATTTTAAAAGTAAAAATAAATAAAATATCGAAACTCTAACCTCTTATAGTTTCATTTTCTCTCAACTTTTCCTTTTCTCCACTCTCGCTCTTCCCTTATTCATCTCAAGCTGGCTAATCCTTCTCTTTTGTAGCACTCGAGTAAAAAATTGGATTAGATAACATATAATGAGCTGTGTCATATGGCACTATCAAAAAGATCTTTTAAAAAAAAAATAGAAAGGAAAAATACTTACTGAAAATCAAAACCCAATGGTTGGGGTACTATTATCACCATTAGAAGCACAAAGATAAGAACATTAAAGACATCAAGATTCGTTTTTAATTGTTAATTTGTTCTTAATTAATAATTTGTTCCTAGTTAATAAAAATCAAGCTCGATCCAATTTCTTCTTGTGTTTGTTTAAACATATTTTGAATTGGTCTTTTGAACTTTAATATTGAATAGGGTTATATTTTTTTTGTATAATACCCTTCTAATATAGAATAAAACTGTATTTTTTATATAATACCCTTATAAATATTGAATAGGCAATAGATATTAATATATATAGGATTTTTCTTTTGAACTCTAATCCTTCATATCTTTTCTTTTAATGAAAGTTAATGCTTTTATAAAATTATGAATTCTAAATATTGTATAGGTATTATATATTTGATATGGACACTGATTGGTGCACACCCGGATCCCACACCGGATGTGCACCCCCCACATAACCAAAACAAAACCAAAAAATATAGGGATAAAATTACAAATTTAACCTTAAAAAGTCATCTTCCTCACACTACCCATTTCTCCTTCTCTCTCGATTCTTCCCCTTTTTGCAAATCTCCACCTTGTTTCCATTCTCCGATCTTCACCATCTTCTTGCCGATTTCAGCACCATCACAACCTCCATCATCATCCTCGATCACCACTGAAACAGAAGAAGGATTCGACAGCCAAAAACTTTTGTCTCTTTACCTCGGCTTTTCTTCCTCCTAGTATTCTGCATATTCGGTTTTTGAGGAGAAAGGAAGGGTTTCGTTTGGGGCAACAACGACTGAAGAATATGGGTTTGTTGAACCCGAGCTGGGTTCTCCAGCAGAACCCAGATCTGGGTTCTGCTGGAAAAACCCAACATCTGGGTTCTGCTGCCTTCGTTCTTGATTTTCTTGAATTAATTAGGGTTTCTCAATTGCTTTTTTATCTTTCGCTACTTCTGATTTTGATTGTTTGTCTTCGAATTTTTGTTAGCTTCGCTTTAGGTATTGGAATTTTAGGAATTTAAGGTATTCAGAGATGAATGAAGGAAAAGGGGAGGATTCCCGTGTCTGATTATTTTGGGGGCAAACATTTGGACTTCTAGAAAATTCCATGAATTTGTTAGACACGGAGAATTGGAATTGGTAGGAAGAGAATTAGGGCATTCTCAAGCCAACATAGGGGAAGTGAATGCTCAATAAATTTTCTCCTTTTCCTATATTTTCTCGGCATCCAAACATCGGGATCTAGCATAAAAGTTAATGCATAAAAGATAAATTTGTTAATGTTGCAGATCTCAGAATCTGATTCAGCAGCTACTCACTACAACTCGGAAGACAAATCTCAAATTGAGCTCATGCCTCATCTGCAGCAGAAACCCAGATGTGGGTTTTGCTGTAGAACCCGATCTAGGTGCTTGAATGCTTGGTTGAATTTTGCTGAGATTTGT